AACTGCCGAAACAACCGAATATGTTTACACGGCCGCCATTTTTATTTTTTCAGCATAATCAGCATTATGATACCTTACTCCCCCCACCCTGTATACGCATAAATTAAAAGCTGGAATTTCTATTAGCTCACTGCATAATTTATGCATGGTACGTAATATGTTATCATTGTCATGAAAATCGGTTCCTTTTACCCTGCATATGTAACATTTAAATTAGCTAGCAATGCGGGATGGCTAGATGATGTTGATAATAAATTTGAGGTTTAGCTTTTTGTAGCAATTATTTGAAAAATATACTGTAAAATTACAGATATACAGAAAATATCAAATTTAGAGTTTGTTTTCACAAACGCATGCATTGCGTATGAAACAGGGTCTCGTTGTGTTTGCTTGATTATTGGCAGAGAGCTTGTTCTTCAGATTGCCTTTGCTAGATTAATTTTAACTTCGGAATTTTAAAGGTCCACCATGCGTGTATTATAGCTTTGTCTGTCGATGACCAATTGCAAAGGCTTAGCACCAAACACACGAATATTGCAGTAATTTCAGGGATATTTTAACGCAAACAACCTGGGCAATCTTTGGGGGAATGATCTCAAACTAAAGCCTGTTTTGAATTCCCGTTCAATTAAATTCATTGCATTTTTTACGCTTTGGAATTTTCGACGGAAGTCGATTTCTGTCAATTATGCGACAAACCTGTCAAATTCTTCGACGGCGCTGTACTTAATGAATGTGTACGAAATAAAATTTACAGAAATTTAACGTCTACAACAGGCTAACAACGTACACACATGCAGGGGCTGTTCATGTATATGAGCCGCCCAGTCCAGCTAGCCGGGATGAATCGTATCACAATTTTCTTCCTGGTCATAAAATATTGTTTTAAATAAAACAAACTGTATACTATTACTGGAATAGAACTTTGAAATGTCGTTTTTGGATGTTTATCAAAGCCGTGATAAGAGCTTTGCTGATTAATTTAAACGAATCGTCCCAACTTACCGGGCTGGTCAGTAGCCCCTCATGAATAGCCCCTCATGAATAGCCCCTCAGTCTGGAGAATTTATTCAAAACGCCAGTACAATAATGTCAAGAGCTGCTAGCACAACGCTTGCCAACTGTAAAATGTCAAAACGTCTCTTACCTTTTTTCCAACTTTATCAATGCCTTCTTAATATCTGTGTCGTCCGTGCTACGTTTGTTACGTGTTGTGCCGTGTTCCCGTTTCTCAAAGACTTGAAGTCCAAAATCTTTTCTTCTTCCAGAGCGTTCAACCTGTCCTTGAAATCCTTCAAGGAGGCAAAGTTCTTTGCGACCACGGCCAAAAGAACAGCGACAACCACAAATAATACAAGCAAAAGTACTTTCATGACAAAGTACGAACGATGCTTGCTTGTTTCGTGTTCTTTGCCGTTCTTTTCCATCGTTTTAGCAATCGAAACTCGATTTTAGTTTCTCTCTTTCTCTGTGACAACCTTCAGCTCGGAGTCAACAGTCTAAAATGACACGGAAACAGTACGATTCGCTTACATATATTATTGATAATTTGAATAAAACCAGGCAGCGTTACTTAACACGAAAAAAAACAAGAATAAACTGTGATAATTGGTTCCTCACTTATAGACAAAAGGCTGGTACAAAATTCGAAATTTTTCACCATTCGAAACTCATTGCCTTGTGTTTCTGTCCGGGAATCTTGTAGAATGTTTTGTGATTTTCACTGCACTGTTAATTTTAGGGTGTTAAAATAACACCAAAAAGTGGTGTTAAAAAATTAGGTAAAAAATGACACTACTTTTTGGTGCTATTTTAACACCACTAAAAAAGTGTTAAAATAACACTAGATATGGTGTTAAAACAACACCCATTTTTAGTGTTAAATTAGCACCAGTTTTGGGGGTTAATTTAACACCTGTTTATAGTGTTAAACTATAACACCACTTTTAAGTGCTAAAGTGACACCAGTTTTAAGAGTTGTTTTAACACCTATAGTGTGGCGTTAAAATAACACCTGATTTGGCAGTGCCAAAGCAACACTTCTTCCTATCTGGTGCTAAAATAACAGATATTTAAGGTGTTGATTTAACACTTTCAACCAGGCACATTAAGACACACACAAAAGAGAAATATAGGTTCAAAATTGGTTATTATTATAAATTACTCGCTGACAAGAAATACCTTTAACATGCATGAATTTACATGAACTAAGTATTTATCACGATTAATTTCGGAGTCCAAGCTCACTTAAAAGTTGTTGTACAGAAATTTTGTTCTCGGCATCAGCAGGGCAGTTTAAGGTTCTAGATTCTAGAAATGCATAAACACTCGAAACACCTGGAGTGTATTCCATATTTAGAACATGGAATGTGGCAATAAGTATGTGGAATATTTTTACCAGCAAAACGCAACTAAATTTGCCCCACGGCAGCAATGTACAATGGGTCCAAGGATGCAATGTCACCTGATGCCAAGATTCAAGGATAGGTTGATTTCCTCACTTCTTCATCAATGGCCATTGTCCGTCATCCTTAAAAGTATTCATTTTCACATTAGTCTATACAGTATATATATTTAGTAATTTTAAATGTTGTCAAGTTCTAATGCTTGAATAAGAGTTAAATGTTGTATTCTGATTGGCTTTACGCTACTCGTTATCTAAATGTCACTGAGATATCTAGCTAGAGCGCAAACTATCTCTTTGTTGAGACAAATAAGCATTGATCACATGCAATGATAGGATAAGAGATGTGCCATCTCACCTTAACACTACATGTAGCAATTAATATTTTTCAAAAGGAGTACAGTATCTAACAGGGAAGCCATCGAGCAAGTGTCACCTAGCTGAACTATATAATTAGTCACTGGTACAGACTGGCCCGTACAGTCCAATTGCATTTTGCCATTGAAAAATCATATCGATACATTGCCATTTTAAGAAAGAAAAATTACCACCATTATAGTGTTAACAGTGTCAAATGGGTCATTCGTCGTGGATGGATAAGAGATGTGCTATCTCACCTTAACACTACATGTGGCACTACTTTAAAATGAGAATCTGTTGCAATAAGAACTTAATTAGGTTTAGTGTATCTTCTGACATGGTTGAGAAATTTGACATTATATCATAATCAATATTTTCACTCTTAAATATTAATACT